TAGGTAACACACATCTTTTGGGTCAGACACCTTTCCTTAGGCTACCAAATGTTTGGTAGCAGGTGATCTCTCCTTTTCAGGTTATTACCTTTTCTTAGGCTGTCAGATATTTTGACAGTAGGTAATACCCCTTGTTTTGGCTATTACTTTTGCTTAGGCTATCATACGATTGATAGTAGGTAATATACCATCCTTTTCGGTCAGATGCCTTTGCTTAGGCTACTTTGTTGGTAGTAGGTCATCTTTCCTTTTTGTGTTCACCTTTGCTTAGGCTATCATACGTTTGATAGTAGGTAATATACCATCCTTTTCAGTCATATGCCTTTGCTTAGGCTACCTTTTTGGTAGTAGGTCATCTTTCCTTTTTGTGTTCACCTTTGCTTAGGCTATCATACGTTTGATAGTAGGTAATATACTGTCGTATCTTGGTCAGATGTCTTGGCTTAGGGTACCAGGTTTGGTAGTAGGTCATCTCTCATTTGTGTTACCTTTGCTTAGGCTATCATATGTCTGATAGTAGGTAACATGTGTTTCTTTACTTCAACCGGATACCTTTGTTTAGGCTGCCACACGTTGATAGTGGGCTACCCTTCACTTCCAAGATCTCGTTTCACTGTCCAAGTTACTGTACCCCTGGTGGTATTATTATATCTTATCTTCATTTTGGAGAATCCACAATGCTGATCATTGTCTCTTCCCGTGGAGTCTCGCTCTGTTGAGCTGGTTCTTCCCGTGTGTCGTGTCCAGTTCATCTCCTGTGACATCATTTCCTCACAGGACCCTCTGTCTTGCATTCTCATATCATTTGCACATCATATGCATTCGGTGGTTTCTTAAGGCCAAAAATGCGTGCGATGTTTGTATTTAAGTCCCTTCTATCATGTTGAGACGAAGATTCTCATCCCCATATCTCCAGATAGAAGTAACTTAAATAGGGGCATCTGTCACACCCTTATTTTTTTACCGTAAGATCCCACCTATTTTCGCGCATTTTCTTTTGTCATTTGACCTTAATTTAATATTTATGTTTTATGACTAACCAATTTGTGCAGTGACAACTATTTCAGTTCGAACGGGGAGAGGATTGGGCTTTAAGGGCGATCTTGATTTTCGCGGCGACATATATTACAAAGCTACATCCTTTTATGTACCTGGTTCATCATTACCAAATCTTTGATTACACGAGACTTTTCTTTTTGAAGGAGATTAAGACTCATCAAAGCGTTCCATATGAGGTTAAGCACAAAGTGCATATGCCTATTAACAATTTAATGGAAAGTTCAAAACCTCGTTGCAAGTGCATTAATTCTTGCAAGGATTGCAAGTTGGATTAGTGAATTTGTTAAGGAGGCTTCAACTGAGGTTCACTTATCAGAAGCCATTAACATGGTCAACTGCACAATACCTTTGTTAAAGATAATAAGTGATGATGAGGCTGCACTAGATGATAACATTCTCCCTTTAAGAGAAATGTTTGAACTCGTCTAAGTGTTATTGCTGCTTTGACTAAGTATGGCATTGAGGAATTCCATTCGCAGGAGGTTAAGAGTTAAACCAACGGAAACTAATACATGCAAAGCTTGCATTTTCTATTGAATAAATCATATTAATTGTGAAACTGGCTCTTAAAAGCAAATATGTTGACAATTGCGAAGCAAGCAAATTCATCAGTGTTATTGCAATGAGATATTGCATTCGCTGTTTCCAAACTGTACTCAGTGATTCCAATATGCAAGGATTCAAAGAGGTGTGAATACAAAAGATAACTCATTCTTAATGTTTCTTGCTGGGGAGCTAATTACTGATATTTTCACATTAATCCACAAAATGTTAAAGAATACTATGACGAAAGAGTCGACAAATATTGCCAGTGAATGTTTAAGTCCCATGGTGGGGTTACAGGCCTTAGCTAAAGGCAATGATTGCCAGAGAAGTCTTATGACCTTACTTCTGGAGGCCATTGTCACGATTTTCTTGACAAACAACAAACGTGTTCTCTCCGGAAATAAGGGACTTAAGAAACACAACCATTATGCTTGTTTCCCGCCTTGATCAAATTCCTTCATCAGCCATGCATTTCAAGGATGTTTTACTATCAATTCCTCCTCTGCACCGCCATGAACTTCAGGGGGTAATACGAGCTTCTGTCACACATGATAAAAACCAAACAGATTTTAGAACACCAGTTTTGGATATTAAAATGCCGAAACTCAGAGGAAGCCGTAACCCACACACTTATGCCTCGCTGAACCTTTTTCGCCTTAATCAACCTAATGAACATATTTAATCTAATTAACTTTTTTAGCTAATCAATTTATATTTAAATTATCTTATTTTAGTCCTTTTTTTTAAACAAGCTTAATAACTTTTTGTTTAAAACAATCTTCTTCTAATTAATTTATTAGTCAACCCTCTTTAATTTACTATTTATTTAATAAATTAATAATTTACTTCTTCAATTTTAACAAACCTTTTCTTAATAATATAATTTGCTCATATCCTAAAAAAAAACTATTTAATTTAAAAAAAATAATAGCTTTTGAAGCAAATAATAATAAACACCTTTTTTTTTATAATAATTTGCGTTTATTCAATAATAATAACAACAACTAACTTTTAATAATAATTAAGTCGTTCCATTTTAACTAATTTACTTTAATAAGATAAAATATAAAAACCCTTATCTATTTAAGAATCTGTTTTATTTATCTAAAACTTTTTTTTACTAAAACTAAAAGCTAGTTCGTCTGATTTCACTAAATAAAACTGATTATAAACTTCACATAAAATTAAATTAACCTTTTCTCATAAATCAATTCATAAAAATATTTTCCCAAACACTTAACTATTCACCTAAAATCAACCTCCCTTTAAAATCAACATCCCTTAATCAATCGTGCACGATTCGCTTATGCTCGCATTCCACTCACATTACTCACCCTCATTCACCTAGCGCTTTCATGCGTGTATCTGCCTTTATCTTCCACAATTTACTTTACTGTATTGCATAAGCGTCCAAAGGAAGAACCTGCGCATAATTTAAACAATTGTGCGTATGCATCTCATTTGCATCATATTCCCATATGATCCTTGATCCCATTCAAGTCGATCTTCTAAGTTAGATCCTACCCCATAGGAAGGACCTTTTCTTTTACAACTTAGAAACAAACAATTCAACTCAATTCAAAACTTTTTAAACACATTAGAGAATAAGATATTAATCATCTTAAGCGAGATAAAACTTCTACCCCATAACAATACAATCAATTTTCCTACAAAGTTGTGGTGGTCAAATCAAGTAATCTCCGTTAAAATGACAACTCATCTTTTCTCCTAGAATCAATCAATCAACTACCTTATCCCATAGGAACTTTGACCATAGTCAAAGCACTACTCAAACCCTTTAGGGGAACTACAGATACTCTGATTCCACTCCCGTAAGGATATGTAGGCATAAGATGCGATATCTTATCGAGTATACTTAGAAATAAACCCATAGGTCTCTTATCCTTAAGCAGATAAACCTTAGCAATAAACGAACATTAAAACAAGAGGTTCCTGTAGAGTACTATAGAAACTTAGGATGCTAACACCTTCCCTAAGTTTAACTAACCTCCGAACCTATAACTCTCTAACCTTTGCATTTGCATTGCATTGTGGGTATTTTGATCTTTTTTCCTTCCTTTGGACAAATCAAAGTTCGGTTGCAAATGAACTAAGATTCAAGCTCATCAATAGCTTGTTATCAAAATTTCACCGCGACAATAAGCCCATTCACTATTTCACCACATACCTTTATTTGACTAGTCACCACCACCAATCTTATAAGGTACTCACCACTAATTCTTGTTTAATTATCTTAAGCATTTTGTATTGGTTTCTCAGTGCTTGCATCTTGAACTTTTCAAGCTTATCATATCCACCATAAGTTTTCTCAAGTGTTCCTCACACACCCCTTTAAATATTGCCAGATTCGCATGGAATTGGTTTGAAATTGATTTGAAGTTTTATTCGAGTTTGGCATCCATCTTGATTAAGGATTGATGATTGTATTGAATAAGGCTTTAGACCAATTCGTTGGAAGAATTTCTATTAACAATATAAGAAAGAAGAAAGAAAATTGTGTCGCTTATGACTCAAACTAGTGCACTTTATGAATTTGAAACCATGCAATATAAGAAATCATGATTTGAAATAGGTAGTTATGTATCGGAAATGGTTTAAGAAACTTAAGCTATACAAATAGCTTACCTAACAAATTTCTCAATAAACTCTACCTAACTTGAGTGACTAATTATTAACTAACTTTTAACGAATATTAGTTACAAATTTTTAGACTAAAAGTTACAACTCAACACACAATTAATTATAACCTTTCAAGCCAAAGTAACAACTAACACATAGTTATTATAAACTTTCAAATCAAAATTATAATTCAATGCATAGGTAATTACAAAATTTCATATAAAAGTTATTTATAACTAAACACAATATAAAATCAAATTTTAAAATAAATTCAATTCTACTCTAAAATATTGAAATATACTAGTACTTATATACTTATACACTTCTATAATAAATTTTGTAATAAATTCAAAAGTAAAACCAATAAATTCGCCTTCTTAACCATGTAATAATTCAATTCAAGATACAATAAAACAAAATCATTTTTTTCTATTATTGTTTTTGGTACAAAAATTAATTTATGTCAAGATAAGACAATTTCTGTTTGAATAAGAAATGATTTCTGAGCCCTGACAAATTAAACACCAATGAAATTAAATTATTCAAAAGAAGAAAAAAAAACTTATTTTGACTTAAAATTATTGCTTAGAAAAAAAGAAAGAGAAACGACATGGCTGGCTGCTAATTAGGTCCTCTTTCTCAGTCAGTCCTTCTCCCACTTTTCTCTCACACCATTCCATTTCCACTCTCATTCGACGTCGTTTCGTTCCGTTCGGTTCCGTTACGTTGCCACTTTTCCAAATCTGAATGTAACCATGACATCTTCCGAATCCAACGCTGCAGATCACGTCGTTGAACTCATCGTTCACGACGCATCACAACCACCACCGCCACCACCGTCTTCTTCCGACGACTCTCGCGATAATGTCAATGCCCAAATTGCCCCTCTCCTCTCCCACACTGATAGACCAAAGATCAACATCTTTACCGCTTCTTACCCGAGAAGAAAACCTAGAGTATTTTCATTTCCTTTCATTTCTATTATTAATTTCTATATAAAACTTCAATTCGTATCTGGTAACATGTTAATTATATTCAATTCATTATTATTTTTGTTATCATAAACTTCAATTATTGATGTGTTGGAATTTTTTCATGTATTTGGCTGTAGGATGAAGTAACAAGATTACTTGAGTCTGAGTCATCATCTCCTTTCACTCAGTGTATATTGTGGATATGGAATGGCTCTAGATACTCTGGTTTACTTTGCATGGCTTTGTCATCCATTGTTTATTTTCTTATGGGAGTTCTTTCCAATCTTTTTTCTGGTAATGTTCTGTTATTTGTTTGGCATAATATGTAATATTTCATTTTCTTTGCTCGACATTATGCCTTTGGACTAATCTTAGTTATTATTCATATAATTAGTCCAAAAGAATAGTCCATTTGTGGTTATCCCGCAATCTCATTTTTGGGGTCGGCCGCTCTGCTCCGCTATCTAGGATTGATAGCTCTATCTCAAACTACTTGAACCACTCAACCTGATGGTTTAATTTTCCCTATATTTTGATTAAAACCATCTAATTTTTTGTGAGCTAAATTTTGCATTCATAGATTGTTCCTTGAACACTGACTAAGCTACTTTGGATTCATTTTAGGGAGACTACTCTCTCTATTTCATTGTGCATTTAAGTACGACTACAATGGATGTTCGGTTAAATTTTAGAAATTTTTTCATGATCTACAATTATCTTTTTTTTTTTATTTGTGTATTTTTTTTTTTTTTTGGTTGTTTCTCATTTTAATTTTTGCAATTACATTTTTGACTTGGCAGTTCAGGCTATTCCTTTGTTTGAGACTGCTTTTACACGTTGTACAATTATCTTGATACTGTCATATTTGTGGTTGAGAAGGAGTGAGCAGCCACTGTTTGGAACATCCAATGTTAGAATCATTTTACTTTTAAGGGCCCTTACAGGCTGTATATCAATGTTAAGTTTTGTATATTGGTAAGTAGTCTTTGAGTTTATTTTGCTTCAATATCCAATCTTTTCAGCACTTAATATGTCATTTTGGAATTGTATTTTCTCTAGCGGATCTTTTCCCTTCACGATTTATCTCTGTATGTTTGTAAAGTATATCATTGTTTTAGGATATTGCTGAATTACATTGTTCATTAATGTTGATAATCTTTTTCTGCAATGGTTTGAACAGTAACTGCACTGTTTACTACTTCCTAGTCTAATGTTAAATTAAGGTTTTAAAATTGCAATAATATTGCATTTTCGTGTAACTAAGAAATTGTAAAAAAAAAAAGGTTCAGTAATATATAATCTTTTATTTTTTCAATATGGAACTAACTCTATGCCGACATGAATTCTTTAAATGCTTACAAATTACAATATTCTTTGTATTAAGTTGAAATCTTGGTTCACAGTTTGACATAATCAACAATTTGCTTTAGTAACCTGAGTTTATGACTATGTGCAACTCATTCATCCTTTGCAATCTTTTGTTCCAAAGTATTGTAATAAGAGAAATCTGTTCTTTTTCAGCTTTCAGAGGTTGCCTTTTGCTCAGGCTATTGTGTTGAATTCAACAACTCCAATTATGGCTTCAGTAATGGCACGGTTCTTTCTGCGTGAGAAATTGAAAATTGCAGATATTGCAAGTAAGATTTCATAGATCTGTTTGTAAACTATCTGCTATTATAAAATTATGATGGAATGGTGAGAAATTTTTAGCCCTATTTTATGCATGCTTACTTGTTTATATTTTGATTTATTTATTTATTTTGATTTTGCTTATATTTTTTATGAAGTTGTATCTGGTCTTAAAAGCTTAAGTATTGTGGGCTGTTAAATGTATTCTATCAATTGTAACTACCATTTAAGCGTATTGCTTTCGCTTAAGCGGAAGTAAGATGGAGTATATGGAATGCATTCAATAAGTTTAGCAAAAAGAAAAATGTTTCTAACCTAAAGATTAAAGTTGAAGATCATATCATACCATAATTACTTGGTTTAAAAATCTTAGATCCATAGTACAAAAGGATGAAGAAATAGAAGTAGACGTAAACCGTCTAATTCAAACTGAGTGGTTAAAATGGAGGTGGACCTCAAAGGTGTTTTGTGTGACACAAAAGTACTGCTCAAACTGAAGGGAGAATTTTATCAGACAACTTGAAGACCAGTGATATTGTATGGGACAAAATGTTGGGCAGTAAAGAACTGACACGAAAATAAAGTTAATGTATTAGAGACGAGGATGCTGCGTTTGACATGTGGTAAGAATAGACGAGATAAAATAAAAAATGACAATATTAGAGTGTTGGGGGTAGCATCCATAGTAGAAAAGATGATGGAAAATAGGCTTAGGTGGTTTCAGCATGTAGAGAGAAGACTTGTGGATTATGTAGTAAGAGAAGTAGATTAGATGGAGGGTAGTCAAACAACTAGAGGTAGGGGAAGATCTAAAAAAACTATAAGAGATACTTTTTATCAAAGCTCTTGAGATAGTTGGATAGAAACATGACTTTTGATAAAACATTATGGTGTAATTCGATCCATGTAGCCGACCCCACTTAGTGGATAAGGCTATGTTGTTGTTGTTGTTGTTTGTGTTTATAAAGAAAAATCAACACTAAAAAAATACCATGAGTGGTTTCATTCATAGCTGAACTCTATTGGCATGCTAAACCTTGTATAGGTAACCCAAGAAAACGTCATACTACTTGAACAAGAAAGTTGAACTTAAAATTAAAGCAATGCTAAGATACATTAGGAAATAGGATCCTAAACCAACTAGGACTAAATTATACAACGCAAACAAGAAATAACTAAACTTAAAATTCTTAAAAGTTCAATCATCATTCCTGAATTACAAGCCTAAGTTCCATATTCTGCATTAATTTGAGGATTATAAAAAACAGTATTCATCATTGATTAGAATTTGCATGCATTGGTTAATTTAGTTAATGTTGCATATTTTGCAGGTCTTGCTTGTAGTTTCTTCGGTGTGCTCTTCTTCTTCTGGGAAATGCTTGCTACTCAAGGTATAGTAGTTTCCCTCTCATATTCTTGTAATTGCAATATCATTTGTATCATTTACTGGTTGTTTTTTGCTTTTAATTTATAGCAGGCTTACATGATTTAATATAAAGAGCACATGGTTTTAAGTGGTCCCATGCTCTATTTTTGCCTTGAATGATTTCAAGGCATATAAGCTACATTATCTAGGTTTCAGAAGAATAATTGCTATACTTTAACTACATTTCCTAATTTCTTAATATGGATTTTCCAGAACAGGCAGTAAAAGTTGCGGAAGTAAGCAATGCAAATGCTAAGCCAAGTCATCATATATTTGAAATCCTAGTGGGCATCTTTTCATCAATAATTGGTGGAACTAGTTACTGCCTTATAAAGGCTGGAGCTAAAGCATCTGATCAACCATTGTAAGATTATACAGTTGTTTGTTCTGATATGCTCCATTGATCAAACTTATAGATATTATGCCCCCAGTGTTATGTTTTGTTTTTTATTATTATTATTATTATATTATTTTTTTTGGGGGGGGGGGGGGGGGGGCGGGGTTATGTTTTGTTTATTTCTATTTATGTTTTGGAATTTATCCTTGTTGAAAATTTGCAATCTGTTTATCTGTAATACTAGGCTTATACTGAACTAACTGGGATGTCAGCACAGAATTCTAAGATTTCCATTTTAGTACATAAAAATGCAGAGTGCTTGCAGAATACTAACTGGGACTAGAGACTCAAATAATCATAGAACTTAGAGAAGACATGTGAAACAGTAGATAAAAAAATCTACAATTTCTTTTCTGAGTATATTTTAAAGATGCAAACATATTCTTAACTTAGTTTTATGAATTTATGTTTTATTGCAGGTTGACTGTCTTTTCATTTGGCATACTGGCTAGTCCTGCAATGGGATTATGCACTTACATCTTTGAGGTAAGTTTATGCTTGGAATGATTGAATTTTCTTTTTCAATCCCTGGTTGGTGCTTCAAGAAAAAAGTATTGATGTTGATATATGCATATAACCCTCTATATATAATAGCAAGCAAAAGTTTTAGGGTTTATTTGGTTTTAGAAAACATTTCTTTTTTGTTTTGGCATAGTGTTTTCACAAATTTATAATGATGCTACGATGTTTTAACTTCTTTTTTAAAATATTCGTACCATAAACGATTAAAACAACCTTTCGCTATGCCATTTGTACTATTTTCCTACAATTTACTACTAGCCTAGTTTTCTTTTACAAATACACCCCCATTTTGTACATATTTCTCTTTTTTTTTTCTTCGAAAATTTTATTTAGTTTCAATAACAAGTACAGAAGATCCTAAAGTTGTCAAAATGTGTAATTTTACTAGACAAACTATTCTAAGACATCAGTGTAATCAAACAGGAAATAAAGTGGTGATAGGAGTATACCTGTCCAAACCTAGGAAAATCTGTAACTGACAAAATTGTAATTCCCAAAATAAACCCCTACTTTTGGAATTGAAGGCATAATCTAAATCAATCTCTTCCTTCATACTCTGCTTACAACCTTAGCTACTATAGTCGGACATTCTTTTGATGCCAATACCGATTTCATAAATTCTGGATTTTCAGCAACTTAGTCTTTACAGCTTCTACTTGTTGTATCAAACTTGCTTTCTTCAGTGAGTTCATATCTAAACATAAGTGTAAAAGAGGTTATTTCTTTAATAGCTTTATGAATAACCTTTTCTTGCAAGGCATGATCCAGTAAGATATGTTTGCTTGTCTGAGTTTATTAACATTTTATATCTTTTATCAATGCTAATAAGGATTATTCTGTGTCATATCTATAAAAGTTCAGCACGCACCTGTAAGATATCAGATGTTGGTTGTCTAAGTATTTCTTATTAGCATTATTAGCATTTTATATCTTTTACAAATGCTTTTAGGAGTAGTCCATTGTCCATGTCATATCTATGAAAATTTATGGTACTTATAATATACTCTGTCTTCTTTGTACAGGATTTTGTGCTCCCAAGAATAGAGTCAATTTTACTTATGCTTGTACTTGGTGTTCTGGCCTTCTTTGCTGAGGTGCAACTCTAAGCTGATTATAACTTTCAGTTTTTTTGTAAAATTTGAAAGAGTCATGGTATGGACAATTAATGTATAGTTAAATGTTGGTCTCTTAATGTTGTATTTTTTTTTTGGACAAGTAGCCTAGTAGCTGGAAATCACCTTTTTAAAGGCGAATAAGTGGGGTGTCGTGGGTTCGAACCCACGCCCCTGCATCTAATGTCCCTTCCCAGCTACCAACTGTGCTGGCTTGACTAGACGGTCTCTTAATGTTTTATTTGAAGTGAGGACTATATGAGTTTTACTTCACCAATAATATCCAAAAAAGGTAACCTGGTGCAATAAAGCACCATTCGGAGTACCTGTAGTGACTGGCACTGAAGCACTTGTGAAATTTTTTCACTTCTACCCTATGCCTGAGAGATTGTGAAACAGTAATTTTACTAAACATTGCTTCATATCAAGTTTATTTTAGCGCTTGAGAGGGTTTCATAACTGTATCATAACAATGAATCATGGGCGCATCTTTCTTGTTGAAGTTATAGTGGTTAGGTAGTCAAATTGGAAAGGGAAATAGAACTCTTCTCTAAGTTACTGGCCTTTGTTTGGCTGCTAGACTGAAACATGCGTGACCTAGATGGTTTTCTCTCTCCTTTTGAAAAGAAAAACACAATACACATGGATTACTTTTAAAAGAATAATATTAAAAGAAAACAAAAGCGAGCTTATACAAAAAGTTCCACGAACTCATCCTGATGAAACACAGACAAGTTATTGTGCCATAGAGCTTTAATATTATCTCGTAGTTATGGATTTAAGGGAAGACAGAAAAGAGAGAAAATGTGTTTAGCTCTAATAAACTGAAAATATGGTTGACATAATGCAGTTATAAGTTATAACCTAAAATTCCTAATTATACTTATAATTAGGTCAATTACTACTATATCATATGTTAGACTCTTCAGTTATGTAACTGTTATTAAATTTTTAGGGAAAAGGGCCATTTTGGCATTAGGGAGGTGCAAACCCTCGAAGTTCTGCAATATTATTGTTTAATTTAAAGGGATTTCCCTATTTTTCTAGTATATATCAGTACTGCCGCACTCATTCTTGTTTGGTAGAGTTTTCATTTTGGCTTTTTATGATGTTCAACTGGTTGTTATCTCAAGGTATTGCTGTCTACTTTTCATTCAGATTTAAAGGGGTTGTATTGATATGTTATTTCAACTTGCTTTTATTTTCATTTCCTTTTACTTTTAGAAAAATGCCCTATTGCATCTCTGTATTCTAGCTTATCTCCATTACTTTTCTCTGTTGATGAAACACACTTTAATATTTGTAGTATTATACATGAATATGTTACAGGTCTTGTTAGCAAGAGGACTACAGCTTGAGAGGATGGGCAAAGTTGCCAATGTCCAGTACATGGAGGTATCCTCATTGTACAGCTTTCATGCACGGTCTCATTTTGTTTGTCATTTTAATTTTGACAACTTAGTTTCAATGTGTTTGATACTATAACTAGTTGGGAAGTCAACTGCAATGTTTGCATTTTGTCACTACCATGTATTTACACAAAGTACTTAGCTTAGCACACTTTTACAAATTCAAAACATAGACTCTGAAGCAACCAAAAGACAATTCGAGACAAGCTGAAATAAACCAGTCAACCACATCCTTGATTTGTCTCAATTTAAAGTAAAATATCCTGGCTTTCTGTGATCAATCTATACCTGTAGTTTTGTGTACCATTTTTGGAATCGGAAAGAACAAAAAAGTGTGCACTAGATAACTAATCAAGAATTGCCGGATTACGATGTTGCTAGAGATGAATAACATGTAGGAAGGTGTTGTAAGAAGTGAACTACTCTGTTTGTGTACTTTTCTTAGTCAGGGCTGATTGAGAAACCTTGATTTAAAATTGTACATATTTTCATGCTTTTTGAGTCTCCCCACGGGATTAAATTGATACAGTTTGAGTCTAATCACCACATAAAAAAAATCCATCATATTCTCATTTGCAAGATTATGATAACCAAAGGTAGGGTCGGCTACAAGGATCAAAGATGCTATAGAGTCCAACAGTAATCACCCTAGAGTCTGTCTTTTAGACCTAACTACTTCTCAAATGTTTGACTCATGAGTTTATTGATCTCCAGAACTTTAACAAATTGACTATTCTCCATATGATCAACCCTCCTTATTGGTGTTTCTGATGTGCTTTGGACATTTCTAAATTGTAAAGACTTGAAGTCTTTGAAAACCCCTCATGGATAGTAAGATAACCATGAAAAGTTCTACTTGATATCCCTTTGGTAGTTTTTCCAAGACAATGTTAAAAATGAGAAATTTTTTTTGGATAATATTTTTAATCAACCTAGCCATTAGTAATTCTTCCTACTTGGTTATTAGTGAAGTATTCTATTTTGTATGTTGCAGTGTTTTCTATATTTAGTCTCTTCCTGGTTAAACATGATTGGACGATGGGCCTTTTTGTCTACTTGCATGTCCCAGTGTTGCTAAGCAATTAATTGTTTATTAATTCCTTTTTCGAGTTTTATATAGGTACCATGTCACTTGAATTTAAATACTATTCCTGGGGACTGATATAAACCTATGTTTCTATTGTTTCAGGCAGCACTAACCCAATTTTGGGGCGTTGCTTTGACATTAGTGAGTCCAGCTTTGGATCATCTGATTGGAATTTTTCTTATTGTTGTCTCTGTATTTTTTACCATGTACATAGGACCCGACAAGGAGACAGAATGATATGGGTTGAGATTTGATTTGATTTGCGTATTGCGTTGGGTTAGTAGCGGTTAGTATGCTGTGAGTGATTCATTTGTTATATTCTAACTTGTTTATATCAAAGTATAGTTTAACTGAAAAGTCATTTCACTAGGTTTTCGAATCCAAATAAGCTCCTTCAGAACCTTGAATCCAACTAATCTTCCAGACCTAAGAACAAGAAAATGTCTGAATAAAGGCATAGTTTCAGCTATAACAAACGTCATAGCATCAGACTCACAATATCAGCCTTCTCTAACTGCAGAAGCTTTCTCACTGCTTCACGAAGTCTTTTATTTGAAAAATTTCAGCAATCTACCAGCCGCATGGAATGTAGATGACTACCACGGTAAAGTTTGAATTAAAATTTATAAACAAACTACAAGAATAAACACCTATGGTGAAACGTTTAAACGTTTTAGTACTATTAGTACATTTAAACGAAACGTTTAAAAAGTGAAATGTAGTTTCCAATCAACTTTGGAAAAAGATTAGTCATGTACACCAACACGGAATTAAAACGTTTTGGAGGACAATAATAAAAGTTGTTCTGTTTCCAAGAGCAATGAGGAACAAAGTTGTTCTTTTTCCCATAAATTCTACTACTAGTACTACTTATCATTAACAAATATTTTTTATATACAATGTGTTCTCTAAGTTTAGGATTATTCCAACCCCTAAAAACTATCGTGTCTATAATTTTCTCTCTTGTTTGTATTAGTTACCTTGTTTCCATAACACATATCATTCCTATGCTTTCATGTTTCATACACCATTTCCGCCGAGGCACTCTTGAGTAACTGAGCTTTCCAGCATTTACCTTTTCTATTCCTAATAATCCAGTTGAGTTCTTCAGTCCATTCTCTAGGGGCATGCGTGATTTCCAACCGGTCAATAACCTGCTCGAAATTGACAATGGTTTTGTCTATAAAGAATGTGATATACTTTCAAATAATGTGGTCAAACTAAGATTACGATCGATAGATACTTAGGTTACAGAGAAATTATTATCAATATGATCGTAATCAAAATTACTAGCATATGTGTCTCGCTCATCTTCGACAATCATATTATGCTTGCATGCTAACATTATGTACTTTATTTGTATCCACCTGTCAAGCACGAGTTGGACTACATACAATTGCGAATCAGACTTAGAGCACTACAAATGCTTGTTCACCATCCTTTCGTACGGGCTCTTGACATATGACAAATAACATTATTTTCTCCTTGTGCCATAAGGATGGTCTTAACAAATGTTGCATATTTAGGATAAATGTCATATGCTAGGTAGTATCCCCTATAATATGTGGTTCGATTCAGTGCATTATATTTCATATTTCAGGAACTTTTCCATTCAAAGTATTGTTAAGCACATCATATGTGTTTAACGCATTAATGTTGTTGTTAGAACCCGTAGTGCCAAAAAAATACATGTTAAGTTCACAAGTCTTGAGATGCAATAGCTTGAAGCATGATTGTGGGTTTATCGTTATCACTTATAAAAAAATTGACATTTTCATGCAACAAGATAATTCTTCCATTCCCTATGAATACAATCAATTGAACCAAAGATTCTTAGAAAACTATGTGCCTAACCAATTTGTAGTAAACAAACAATATCTTAATTGTTTGGCCTTCTCATGTACTCGGCACCAAATATTGTCCACATGCACATTCCAAACATGTTCAAGCACTCCAATGGTATGCTTTCACCGATGCAAACATAGTCATCTACACTATCCGTGAGTGATCCATATGCTAATATAAGAAGAGTAGTATTGCACTTCTGCAATGGTGAAAGTCATGTTCTGATTGCATCAATTCTTCTTTAAAAGTACTCGTCATGATTGCCAAGGATTTCAACGATACGAAGCAACACATGTTTTTTCATACGGAACCTTCGTCGAGATTGAGTCTATCTGTATATAGGATTTTCAAAAAAATAGTTATTAAACAAACAATTATGCAATTCTTCACGATTTCAGTATAACTACTCTTCTTTTTTTACGCCTACTTGTATTGTTGGATTTTTCTCCACCTCACATACGAATCTTATCACCTTCTCCTTGGTGTTGTTGTTGAGAAAGTCATCTATGACTTCATTCTAAATTTATCTCGTTCAGCATTTGGATCCATGAAAGTTACGAGAATAAAATGGGAGAAGATGTGAGGTATAGAAGAGTGAGATAAGATGTGAATATAAGAGAAAGAAAAAACATGTGAGGTATAAATATACTCGTTTTATAATGACTATTTTTTTTATAACGAATAACTTTTTATAATGACTACTTTTTTATAACGACTAGTTTTATAATGGTTTTTTTTTATAAATGTTATGAAATTAACCAAAATGATATAGAGATGAAGTAGACAAAGAGAAGAAGAAAAATAATATTATATTATTCACCTCAAGTTCACTTAGCGTTGCAACATGGATCATATTTATAGTACATGTCCAATAAATAACCATTAACTTAAGGAATACACAAAGGTTAGAAAATAAACTCATAGGAGTTAAGGAATATAGAAAGTTGGGTAAATGAACATCCACATCTATTTATTATTATTCATAACACTCCCCTTGGATGTTCATTGAGGATATGCCTCGCTAAAACCTTACTAAAAAACACCCAGTGGGAAAAAATCTAGTGAAGAAAAAAAGTATAATATCTTTTTTAAGTAAATTCATTTCTCCCCCTCAGTTGAACGATCATTTCTTCGACAATGAAGACCAATCTTTTGTACTGTTGATTAAAAGTTCTACTTGGGAATAACTTTGTGAAAAGGTCTGAAAGATTATCACATGAATAGATTTGTTGGATGTTTATATCACCACTCTTTTGAAGCTCATGAGTGAAAAAGAACTTTGGAGAAATGTGTTTTGTTCGGTCTCTTTATAATATAACAATCTTTCAATTGAGAGATGCATGCAGTATTATCTTCATATATGGTCGTTGTATTTAATTTTTCAGAAGATAAACCACAAGTATTTTGTAAATGTTGAATTAAGGATCTCAATCAAACGCATTCTCGACTTGTCTCATGTGGTGCCAAAAGTTCTGTGTGATTAGATGATGTTGCTAATATGGTTTATTTCATCTATCTCCATGCAATAGTTGTACCCCCACATGTAAACAAATAATTTGTTTGTGTTCTACCATTATGAGGACCTGACAAGTATGCATCCGCATAACCTGTTAACTCGAATTTGGATACTTTAGTATAAAACAAACACATGTCTATTATACCCATAAGGTAACGAAGTATATGTTTGACTTTGTTCCAATGTCTTCGTGTAGGTGAAGAACCATATCTTGCTAATAAATTGACATCAAATGATACACCAGGACGTGTATAATTAGCAAAGTACATTAATGCTCCAATTGCACTGAGATATGGCACTTCAGGACCAAGTATTTCTTCATCTTTTTTTAGAGATCTGAAAGGATCTTTCTCCACATGCAATAATCTAACAATTATGGAGTAGGCAACGAGTGTCATTTTTCCATATAGAAGCGTTTAAACACTTTTTCTATATAGCCCTCTTGATGTACAAATATTCCTTTGTCCAAATGCTCAATTTGAAAACCTAGACATATTTTTGTCTTTCCTAAGTCCTTCATCTCAAACTCTTTTTTAAGAGATTTATAGCTTTTTGAATCTCTTAAGGAGTTCCAATAATATTTATGTCATCGACATAGGCAACTATTATAGAAAATTCTTTTCTAGGCCTTTTCATAAAAATAAGGACAAATGAGTTATTTGTATATCTCTCCCTTAGCAAGTATTCATTGAGACAATTATACCACATGTGTCCATGATGTTTTAACCCATAGAGATACTCGTCCAATTTGATGGAGCAAGTTTCTCGAGATCCAAAAATATGTATCTCTCATAAAATTAAACTCTTTATGGAATTTCATGTAAATGTCACACTCAAGTGACCAATACAAATAAGTTGTTACAATATCCGTCATGTTCAAATAAAGCCTTTCATGTGCTACAAACCTAATTAAATATCAAAAAATGAATTGTATCCATTACATGTGGATATGTTTCATCAAAATAAATCTTAGGTCTTTGTGAAGATTATTGAACAACAACGCAAGCTTCGTATCTCACAATTTCACCATTCTTATTTTTCCTTTTCACAAAAAAGTCATTTATATCAGATTGGTTTTACAACTTGAGGTGTTCAAAATACTAATCCAAAATCGAGTCACTTGTAAAGTGAGTTTAATTTTTCTTTAATTGAATATGTTCATATTGGTCAATCCTCACTTTGTCTACAATCTTTGACACACTTTGACTCATGATCCTTGTTATTATTTATCATATTTAGTGCTATATCGTATACAAAGACATTGTCAACATTGAATTTATTTTGGTTCCATCATATTTCATTCATGACATAATTCATCGAGATCTCTTAATTTTTATAAATTTCAGGTACCTGGTTAGTTCTTGTGGAACTCAAAATTAAATTATGTCAAAGTGCTCTTATATTTTTCATATCCTCACTTGGGTCATTGTGAAGATTATTGAACAACAACTCAAGCTTCGTATCTCATAATTTCACCATTCTTATTTTGCTTTTTCACAAAAAAAAGTCATTTATATCCAATTGGTTTTACAACTTGAGGTGTTCAAAATACTAGTCCAAAATCGAGTCACTTGTAAATTGAGTTTAATTTTTCTTTAATTGAATATGTTCATATTGGTCAATCCTCGCTTTGTCTACAATCTTTGACACACTTTAACTCATGATCCTTGTTATTATTTATCATATTTAGTGCTATATTGTATACAAAGACATTGTCAACATTGACTTTATTTTGGTTTCATCATATTTCATTCATGATATAATTTATCGAGATCTCTTAATTTTTATAAATTTCTGGTACATGGTTAGTTCTTCTGGAACTCAAAATTAAATTATGTCAAAGTGCTCTTATATTTTTCATATCCTCACTTGGGTC